CCATCCACTTCCAAAGCCACTTCCTTTCCGTTATACTTCAATTTCATCCACTAACATCTTTTCTCTCTTTTGAGATTCTCCATCTCAACTACTCTGCAACTATAAATAATATTGATTCCTTAATACCCATGAAAACATGCATGGAAAAAAAAAAGAACTAAGAGCTCAAGCTTCTCTCACCACTTCGATAAGCTTGTTGTTACTATATATATTTGTCTTTTGATCCATTTTGGGGGAACCAATGGACTCTGAAAATGTTAAAATATCGCTTCGCGAGAGCTGGAGGTGTTTCAGTGTTGACTCATGGGCCCTACAAAAGCGGAGATTGCCTTCTCTCTCATGCTCATTGCTGCCACCTCCTGTTTCACTTGCACAAAAGGTATGAGAAGCAGAGATACAAATTGAGGCCCTGATGAGAAAGTGATCCAACTCTTGAATTATATGTCTGTGTGAGAATGAATATTTAGGCTTGTGTTTATATATATAGTACTCAAGATGAGGACTTATTTATTTGCTCTTTTTCATGTGTTGTTTTAATGAGAGTTGATGACAAAATTATGATCAGGTGGGAACTGAGTTCATAGGCACCTTCATACTCAAATTATATTTTGTTAATTTGAATTAATAATTTAAATTTTATTAGGTAATTTTGAGTTTTATAGAATTTATATCAATTAATAAATAAATAAATATTAAAACTCCTTGCACAAAGGCCGAGAAAGTAGTACTATACTTGATCTTAGACAAAAGATCAAGAAAGATTAACCAAAAGGTCGACCCAAAAAAATTTAGTACTACACTTGATCTTAGCCAAAAGGCCAAGAAGGTGTGATTATTATTTCTTTAGCTCTATAGTTTTATAAGAGGCTTTCATGTAATCCTTTTTACTTAAAATCAATGTGGGACTTTGTAATTTGAATTAAACTCTTTTTATATTTTGGTAATTTGAATTAATTTTAATTTTATTAGGTAATTTTGAGTTTTATAGAATTTATATCAATTAATAAATAAATACTGAAATACCTTGCACATTTAATAATAGTATAGATATAAATATATATATATATAGATATAGATATATATATACACACACACACACACACTGTTCACAAATACTATTTCTTCTTCCTTCTCTTATTTTCAGTAACCCATTTCAGTAACCCAAATCCCGCTTTTTTCTTCTCTTCCAAAATATTGATTTTGATTTCTTTCCAAAATATTGTTTGTTATGAGTCTTTTGTCAATTTTCACAAAAAATATCAATCAACCCAAATCCCGCCCACCAGTTGCTTAGATTTGCCCAAAGGTTTTAGAGAGAGAAAGAAATCATTTTTTACTTATTATCTTATTCTTCTTTCAAATCTCGATAATTCTCTTTGATTTGTTTCCAAAACGAATCACAAATAAATAACACATCTATTTCTCAATTCTTTTATTTTCATAAATTTCTCAGATCCATTTCTCCATTCATTTGTTTTCATAAATTTTTACTTCCCTTTCTTCGTATATTAGGTCATTTTATTCCAGATTAACATACCAATATTAGAACATAGCAACATCTGGACTGACATAGTTTTTTTGTTTAATTATTTGTGTACTGCATTTGTGTACTGCATAACATTCCAAACAGTTTGTAATTTAAGTCGATATAACATCCCAACATAATCGTAATAGATTATTTGTACATAACATCCCAACAGTTTATAATTTAAGTCAGTATAAGTTATACGTAACATCCCAATATAATCATACTTAACATCCCAAGTAATACGTACTTTGTATCCCAAACAATACGTATTTTGTATCCTAAGCAGTACTAACTACATTTGATGCTTATGTTATACGTAAAATCCCAACAAAATTCTACTGAAAAGAGTGCGAACCAGTGATGCTTGTGCTCTTTAATCAGATAAGAAAAAATGTGATACCCCTCGGATCCGAGACACGAGTTGATCAGGCCCAGACCCAAACCCAAGGGAATATTAAACAATTAAATTATTTTAAAGCGAACACAGAATATAAAAATTGAAATAAGAAATAGAATAAAGCTGAAAGAGTTCTGAAATATAAAATCCTCCAAATAATAATATTAATCCAGTTCTCCAAAACCTCCAAGAGTACAACTTGGGAATCCATCTAATGGACCCCTAGATAAAATGCCAACTAAACTGACTAACTGAAAATAAAACTAAACTAGAACATAAAAAGAAGTCCTACGTAAGCAGATGAATGAGAGATTGTCGTTGACAAGCACGATTAAGCTCTAAGGCTGGAACCGTCCTGTACCTGAAAAGAATAAAAGAGTGGGTCAAGCCCACGAACAAGTTCTAATCTAGCTGCAATCCATACAGTGACCCGATATGCAGATACACCCTAGACACCTCACAATAGCTATCTAGTCCGTAAATATATATATATATCCACACTAAGGGATATTCACTGGACTACAATAGGGGTTTCAACCTGAATAGAAGGTAACATGCGAAAACATACCCAAAGGTGGGCATGCGTACCTAGACTTAACAGGGTACACCTCAACCTACTATAGCCAGCTACGCATCCACTGCATATACGCACCCTAACCAACGAGCCTGAGACTCAAGCTCATCTCGTGGTACCATAACCATATATCTAAAGTCTATCCCAAAACCAGAGTATGTCATTTAATTATTCATTGAGGTGACATACAAAACACAGTTCAATTAGTCACTCAACTTATTCAGTTGATATAACTTAACTACAACCAACTAATCCAAGAAGTCATTCAACTTAGTCAGTTGATCTGACTTAAACACAAATAGGATTCAATATTTTATAATCCATTCCTTTAATCCGGTAGATTAGGTCTTAGTGTTTTAAGTTAAACCACCCCTAGTATGCCACCGTCCCATATCGGTGCATACAATCCTCCATATCCATGTAAATTACAACACATAAATAATAGTTTAGTAATTTATAGTCCAAAATCATAATCCAAATACTTGCAGAAAAGTGTTTAATATTTCAGCAACTATAATCCAAGCGTTAATCTATGCAATTGCAGAAAAGGTTAAATATTTCAAGAATTGACATCCAGAGCATGCATAAATCAAAACAAATAAATAAATGACCCTATTATGCATTTAAAATAAGTTTTATAAACATACTAAATCCCATTAAATTGCTGAAATTTAATTAAGCAAGTTATTTCTTTTCCATCCGTTAACAGCATAGAAAGTTCATTAATTTTATATTGTTTGTCCCATTGACTGATGTCAACTTTAATCAACTTAAGGTATTAATAACACCCAAAATCAATTTCCTAATCCCTCTATGAAGACCCAGAACCATCAGAACAGTTTCCATGCTCAAACAGTCTCAACAGTGCATCAAAACATAACAGAAAAGCAAAATTTGAGAGAGAACCTGCTCCATGACTTTGGGAGTAGTCTCTTTATGCTTGGGAGCCGGCTCTAAGGACCTTGAAGCTGGCTCTATGAGTGTGGGAGCCGGCTCCCACTTCCATGGAGCCAGCTCTCACCTCCTCTGAGAGCCTCCTGCTCAATTGCACTTCGTTTCAGCCCGTCCGCTCCATCTCCGACCATTCCAACCCCTCTGTTCTTCTTCAATACTGAACTTAGGAGTCTTATCTAATCTTAGTAGCATTCCCATAGTTTGTTTACAGTGGTTAAAAACAATTACAGTAATTACAATGATACTAATTTAGCATGCTTAAAGAATAACACTGAAACTCAAACAAGCACGAACTGAAACAGAATAGATTGCAACACACACAGATCATCAATATAGCATATAATATACATGTAAATCTCAGTTAATGATCAATTAAACCCTAGAGACTATTTAGGTGCATAGAACACAAGCCAACGGGAGAGAGGAAGAAAAGAACTTGCCTGTGATTTCAGTTATGAAATCTCGGCGTCGCTTATAAATTTCTGGCAACCACTGAATCCCTTCAAGCCTTCTATGGTTCTGGTTTAATCCACCACAACACTCCCTTGGTCCTCTCTGTTCTTCTCCTTGACAGCCTTTACAGTTCCTCCATTCTCAACCCTCTGTTTTATGAACTTACTCTCTGTTTCTCTCTGTAACCTTGGTACGTGAATAGGGGTTGTGTATTCTCAAACCCTAAGTCGACCTACTGTTCTATATATATAGAGACTTAAATAAAACCCTATTCTCTGTATGATTAGAGACAGAGCCCTAATCTAAATCCTAATCGGCCCATAGAACAAAACCTACGTTTAAAATCTATGTCGGCTACACTTAGGTGACGTCTAAAAGAACCGTAAGTAATTAACGTACTTAAAAAACTCATGTAACTTAATTACATAATTAAACAATTATACTAAACCACTTAAGGACACACAATCAAACAATTTAAATCCAATAATATAATTAACGCAAACAATTCAAATAATTACAATTAGGTCCATTTATTCAAGTAAACAAAATAAAAATTCAATTAATTCAAATATCACACAAATCAAATAATTAAATAATTAAAATGCAACAAAATACTTAATTAAAATACCAGAACTATCCTTTTAAAATTAGGGGTATTATAAAAAACAGACAAAAAATCGAGATTTACATGAACAAAGCTTAGATCTATGAATGATACTCTGGAGTTTCTGTATAATACTCTAGTGAAATTATATGGGTTTTTGGAGTGTGTTTGGGTTTTGAAGTGAAACTTTGAAGTTCAAGAATTACTGTGAGTCCTTGGAGAGTCTATTAATGGAAGCTGATGAAGCTTTTAGAGAGGAAAAGAAAAAGATGACATTTTAGAAGAAGACATACGTATTTTAGATACAATATTTAAATGTATTTTTATATTAGATTGAATACAATATTTAAAATTTTTATATATGTAATACAAGGGTGGTGAAAATTTAATTATCTAAAATTTTTAATTAATGTGACCAATTCTCCTCCACTTATTCCAAAGTGGTGAAAATTGCCTACAGATTTTTCACCCTAACTCAAATTTGGGACTTTGGACTATTCCAATTGTGCCAAGAACAGATTTTGGTTGTTGGCCTTATGTCGGAAGATTTTGGAGTTCTTTCCCTCCAACCAAACATATTGCACGAGTCAATCAAATTGCCCCAATTCAAAGACCGAATGTGGAATCCACATTTAGCTTGTTGAAATTGCAAATCGTTTCGATGGTAGAAAGTCACAAGGAACAGACATAGGCGATTCGATGGTAGGCTGCGATGTCAAGCACGCGAGAGTGTCTGCATCATTGTCTATTATCTGTTTGATGAAATGCCTAGCAAATGCTTCTAAGCTGTAATTCTCTCTACGCCTTTACAACTTTCTCCATCGTCAAGGTAAAACATTTTCTCAGCTCTCTTATTCATCACATTCTCTCTCTCTCTCTCTCTCTCTCTCTCTCTTTTTATTCGTGGAAACCATCGTCACTCTAAATACCAATTCATGTTGATATACGCTACTCGAAACATGCTCTCTTTGATTCTTATAAAGACTTGTTACAATCTTGAATTTCTTAACAGACACACTCTATGCAGCAGGATATTGAATCCATTGCAAGACGAGCATGGACATGTAGCAGAAGTGAAAAAAAGTTGGGAACTTGGAAAGACTTAGGAAAAAAAACAGAAAAAGTTGGAAAGAGGAAAAAAAAAAAAAAAAAAAATAGAATGAAATCTACAAGTCCAAATTGGAAGGAAAACTAAAAATTAGTCTTCTTTGCTGTCTAAAATGCCAGAGGTACGTTCTTTTTTTGGGGGGTGGGGGGAATTTAAAGGGTTTTTTTATTGTTGATGAAGTGTTGAGCCACATAGAACAATGAGAGGAAAAATTGGTTCTGCGTTAGAGAGAGAGAAATGAGATGAATTTGTTTGCTTACATGGCAAACAAGTGTAGTCCACCTATTGATCCGGCTTTTCTTTCCGAATTTTTTTTTTTTTTTTTTTTTTTTTTTTTTTTGCAGTTTATCAAGGATGTACAATGCCTAATTGTAGGCTTCATTTATCTTTAGGATTTGTATGACAAATGGGCAACATGAAGCATTGTGATTATCATTAGAAGTTGTAGATGTAGGTTCTTGTTAAGTTGAGGAGATCATTTCACATTTGTCAAGAATGCTGAGATCAGAGTTTGAATGGTAATCCAAGCTAGCACAAGGAGATTATCTTTAGAAGAGATTGAGAGAGAGAAGGCATGTTTTCTTAATACCAAGAAGAAGCCCGAGACTTGGATTTCTTCTTGCTTTCTACAATCTCTGGTTACCCCAAATTTGGGGAAACAAACTCACAATTGTTAAACATCAAAAGAGGCCAGCTGACCAAGGCCTTGTGTCCTAGTGGTACTTACTCACCTTTTAAAGTAGAAGGTAAATCTCCATGGGGTTATGAAGTGGGTATGTTAGTATGTTTCTTGCCAATGAAAAAAAATACTGATCGGAGGTTTTGTTGGTCTTAATACATGAGCTTGGAAGATGCCATGTTGCTGCTAAAAGTCTTGATACTTTGTTGTCCTTGAAGCTGCAAGAGTGAAGCCTTAGCTTGATTATCTATGTGATAGGGGAAGTGATTGCTTGGGTGGTGGAGGATTTCGTTCTGAAGATTCTGAAATTCCTTTCCTTCCAGATGAAGTAGACAAAAGCTGCGAGTAGTAGTCTGCATGTGAGGTTTTTGATTGGTGTCATCCAAGAAGAAGAAGCCATAGCTTAAAGTTCTGGCCACGAGGAATAGACAAGTTTAGGAGGGTTGTATAGGTTCTGGAAGTGGTCCCATATGGTGGATGTGATTTTGAACCAGACCAAAGTGGACAATGGGAAGGTAGCTGTGGTTGGTGGGAATGATTGCATCTGAGTTATTGTGAGAAGCTAGGTGAGTAAATCCAAAGGAAGGTATCATCCTGTGATCTGTTAAATGGTGGGAGTAAGGCTTGATTCTTGAGATCAGGTAACGGTCTTTGTAGGCAGGGTGGGATGTTCCATTGGCCATTTCTGATGACTGCACTGACTTTGGTGTATCTTTCCAATGGATGAGTTCAGAGTACCTGAGTTAGTGATTTTGTGGACCAGTGGTCCACAAGTAAGCCATGAATCAAACCAGAGGGAGGAGTGGTTACCATTACCAATTTTGACAGTGATTAGAGGTCTGGCTAAGGCTCTCAGTTGAAGCAGTTTTCAGAGTGAGCATGAGCAAATTGGCTGGGCAGTTGATCTCCCCAAAATTCCTTTCCCTAAGGTAGGTTGATTGAATCCATTTTGACCAATGTTTGAAGAAATACCAAATGTGCTTGATCATTGCACCTCTGTTCAAGGTAGTCAGATTGGGTAAAGCCTAAACCACCATTTGGCTTGGGAAGGCAGACCTGAAATTATGTTATGATAGGCAAGGGCAAAGTAAACATCCGTGATTTTGATATTTATAAAAAAGTACACAATAATAGGGGTCTTTACAATTTGATACGTTTAAGGAGTGGTTATTGGGTCTCTCATAGTTATTTTTATTTTCCCAGCAAGAATTGAAGATATTATTGATAAGAATCAGTTCAAAATTTCAAATACATCATCGGAGCTTTACAAACTATAAACTCAGGAGACTCATTCCCCTCTCATGGTACATAAACTACCTTCCATGATTAGAAGAAAGGGATTGTCATGTACAGGTTCCAGTCCCATTCACTGCCTTTACGACAGTCTCGGAATCTGATTGAAAAATCACATGCATTAGATGATTAGAAGAACAAATTTGTGTGTATATATATAAACGGTAAATTCTAGCGTGATTTATGTGGAGTTTATATGAAAAAAGGTAGTGTAACGCACAAGAATTGGGTTAATACGGACCATTATCATTTTCCTTTTGTATTTGGCCTCATATTGGAAAGAATAAGAATATGCATTTTTTACGATGGTCAAGTATAGATGGATTAGGCAGAGAAGTTGTACACAGTAAATTTAATATACTCAATCTTAATTTAGGGTAAAATTTAACCCCATTCAATATCCATTCCAAAAATATCTATTTCCTCCATGTGTTGCTTGATTTCCAATTGGGACCGGACTCCACCAACATATTGAATGGAATAATTAAACGGGGACACAGAGGCTGCTACCAGAGATAGAGAGAGAGATGGCTATGGTTTCCTCCTATACCCAAAAGATGAGTTTACTCCTTGGAGGCAGAGTCTCCATAAAACCTGCACTCATCTCTTCGTCCATCCAACGTTGTTTTTCATCTTCTCTTCAAACATCAGCAGCAGTAGGAACTACTCCTTTGTCTGCCTACCCGTGGCTGATGGTTCCTCCTAGTTTGGTTTCTGACCGCGAAGAGGGGTGCGAAGTACTGTCCTCACTGCAAAAGCACAGTTGTTGGATATGTGGACTCCACTGTGAGATACACACAATTCAAGGTTAAGCATAAATCGGAGGTGGAGCTAGAGGACAATGATTACTATTACTTGTTGAATGTTGCCGAGAATAAGGTTTTGAAGAAGAAAAATCTATGGTTGCCATGGCAAACGGATCACCTTTCTCCGGATAAGGCCATCTGCATTGGCTCCTCTCATGGCCGGCTTGCCTATATCCACCCCCGCAATTGCTCCCTCTATCTCTATAATCCCCTTATTGATTCCTCCATGCCCTACCTTCCCCTCCCTCCAATCGAAACCCTCCCTCCGATTATGTCAAGTCGACGTCTCAATGGCTTGCACGTGGATTCCTCCTCCCCCTCCTCCTCTGTTGTTACAGAGTTCATGATATGAAAACAGATGTTACCCATATCAGCTAAAGACCTAAGTGACAATTTCTTTAGGAAGGTTGTTATGTCCTCAGCCCCAACCCCATTTTCTTCCAATCACTATCAGAACGTTGATCAAGACTCTCAATGTACGGTTATGGCTATCTACGGCAATGAGAGCCCAAGAAGACTTGCCTTCATGGACTGCACTGGATTCGCCAATAACGGACTCCTATGATGATGTCTTCTATGTCAGTAAGAACAAACTTTTTTATGCTTTGTGCAATAATGGTGCAGTAGAATCTTGGGATCTCACCAACCCTTCTTCTCCAAAGAGATCTCTTGTAATTTCCGCTGAGCTTCCAAGATATCCACCGAAAATGGACAATCACCATTGGTGTGTGAGAAGGGATTCTTATGCTAGAACGTGTTTGGCTGAATCTTCTGGGGAATTGTTGATGGTTAAGAGGTACGAAAGTAATGCCCGTGACCCTGATATGGACGGAAAGACCGTTGCATTTGATGTGTATAAGCGGGACTTTGTTGAGAACAAATGGGTGTATGTGCAGAGCTTAGGAGATCGTGTTTTGTTTATGGGCCAAAATCACTCTGTTTCTCTCTCCGCCCATGATTTCCCAGGGTTGAGAGAGAATTCTATTTACTTCACTGCTCAATCTATTGAAAACTCTTATGCAAGTCACGATTTCGGGGTCTTTAACTTGGAAGATGACAGCATCCACCACTCCGACTTGAAGGATATTCAACCTTCTCCTATTTGGGTGGTCCCTGATCTTTGAAGTGATCTCCACTAATCCTTGTTTCTCTCATTCCAAATATATGGCTGTGTTTCAATTTTATTATTATTATATTTTGTCTGCACTCTGATTTTGCTTGCTCTCAGCAGCATTCTTGTTTTAACTCCCTATTGAATTGATGGTGTGATGACCAAGTTTATTTTTATTTTTATTTTCCTCTTATATATTTTTTTAATTGCATTTTGTTATGTTGTGGGGTCTAGGTTGACTAGTGGGTGAGATATGTGTGGATGAGAATGTGTGACATGTATATGTGTGTGTATAGAGAGATAAAGTGTAAGATAGACCAAAAATCCTCTCATTTCTCTCACTCCACCGACACTCTCTCTTCTCTCTCCCATTCTTTTATTTTTCATTTTACTTCAACCATTTCTCCACCATTTCACCTCCAACATTTGAGATTTTGAGCTTGCATAGAAGGGAAGTTGACGGGGACTACGAGATGAACAAAACCCCTCAATCAATTTTGGATTTGGAGCACATTTTTCTTTTGGAGTAACTAGGGTTTGCTCCTAACTTGAGGTAGGGGTGTATTGTGCTTATAACCTAGGAGTTCTTGGAATTTTATGATCATTGTGTGAGTTATGCATACACTTGTGTGTGTGGATTTAATTAGAGAGCTTATATAATGATTTAATTGCATGTCCATGATGTTTTATTGAGTTTTTATATCGATTTTCATGTGTAATATGTTATTTGTTCCATTGTTGATATTATGGATGTTAATTAAAGTCTTAGATATTAATGTGTACAATTTCTTGTAATTAAAGTGCCTTATATGTTGTGTTTATTCATGGAATTATCATGTATTTGTTATTTTGTGAAGGTTAATTTTGAAGATGTATATATCTATGATGATGTTAAACTTTTACACACTTGAAATTTGATGTAATGATTACATGAATTTAAATGACTTTAAAATACCCAATTTGTTGACATTGCATCAAAGAGTATGCCATTATAGCGATTTGGACCATATGACATGGATTGTGTGATTAGTATAATTTATGTGTGCATATGAAGTGCAATTTGGGCATATCATGGAATATGGATTATTTTGTGAACTTGTTTGTTGATTTTGGGAGATACTCGGGGGTTGTTACTTTGAGAATGCGAGGGCTCGGCGCTCGCGGATGAAACATGAGTTTCCCCACTTTATATTGGCCAATTGGTTAGTTTCCGGCGGACTAGTAATCCGAAAACAACTATTTTTATTTACGCGCATAGCATGACTATGTGACCGGGAGTGTGGGTGTGTTCCGAGTTATCCCATTAATTGATTTCGACTTTTATTTTCAAATTGGCATTTATGTGTTATTACAACTTGTGAATTTTTGTACATTCCACTATATTATTTATGTTCGTTTTGATGAATGAATTAATATTATTTATGCTAGACTAAGATGATCCTATATAGGTTCCCCTTGAGACTAGACATTAGAGAGCATGTTCCTTGTATTGTATGACCATGCAATGTTTGTAGAATTTTAAGAAACCTAGTTAATATTCATGAGACATTCATACAGAGCAATTCGTTGCTCACCCTATTGATTCTTATATTTTTCAGGAAAGGGCATTGGCCAAGAGGAGGTTCCTCATCCCTAGCTTGATTGGGATCTTGACAACATTTTTGAGCTACTCGTAATAATTGTGACATCCATTGTGTAGCTTACTTTTATTTTGACACATGATGTATTTTGGATATTATATTTGATGACATATTTGTAATATTCTTTTGGAGGAGGGAAATGACGTAAGAACTCACCCATCTATCTTTTGGAGTTCCTATGAAATTTCCTCTCTTATCTTTACTCATATAATCCCTTATCATTATTTCTCACCTTATGGATTGTAATGAGGCCATGGTGGCCATGACTTATATAGTGGGATTGAACAATTATTGTTTAAGTTGTGTACATATGGGTTCATTTGGATAATCTAATATAAATGGTTAATTAATCATGCTATTATTTATTTTATGAAACTATTATTATAATTATTATTATTATTTATGTGGTGAATGACACCGGTTTTCTCCAATTAATTATTTATTTACTCAAGTGAATCTAATTAATTAATTAATTATTTAATTATCTATTATTATTATTATTTTTCATTTATTTTTATTTTTATTTTTTTCACGACCCGAGTCGTGGAATTCGGGGCGTGACAGATGGGTTCAATTCAGTCATTTTATTGGAAAAATATACTCAGGCTCTTCAAGTCTTTACCTTTCAGTAACGCTTTGGGTTACACAATGCTAATGTGTATCATTGTACATTAGCTCTTGCTTTAATAATTCTTCTTTTTCTTTTTGGGTTAGTTTACTAAGATTTATTATTTAGATTGGTAATATATACCATGGAGCATAATGCAAGTCTCAGGTTCTCTTATATTCTCTAAAACATATAGTTAATGAATTATCTTCTCAGTGATGATACTCTCTTTGGAGAATGAGCTCTTCCTATAGAGGGCATCCTCTGGTAGGTTTTTTAAATAAAGAAAGAAGTTTTTAAAACTTCTTAAACAGTTGTTTACACCGTACATTAAAGTTTTGGCAGGTGGCATATGATATGGCTGATTAGATGCTTTTGAATTTAAATAAATGGTTGTGTTTGTAATATAAACCACCTTGCCACGTGTCACGTGATGAGTGAAAATAACGTGATTGAACAATGAAAGGGTTGATAGCATTGTTGTTTTATTGGCCTGTTTTTATTTTTCATCAAAACCCTATGTTATCACATGTCTTGTATTATGTTCAGTCCTACAAAATGGTGACTCCGTACATTTAATAGTTTATGTTTTCAGACCTTTTTATGTTTCAATCCTATCATTCTTATCACGCTTTCATTTCATGCAAAGTATGCTTGTTCTTTTGTTCTGTTTATTATGCTATTTTTATTGTGAAAAAATAAATTTAAGACATGTATATATACAGTATAATTATTTAGTTTCCATTCATCTCTTGAAAATCCATTGAGACAGAAAAAGTAACGGTTCAGTTTAGAGTTTTGGAAGATAACGAATTGATAAAGCTAGAAATGTTTTGGAAGTATAAATGTTTTCTATTCTGGATTCTCACGTCATTTGATGGAAAGAGAAGTCTTTATAAAAACAGTTTTTAATTTTAATATACGACAATGTGGAGCAGCATGAAGAAATAAAAAGAAAAAAACATGGAGTTATGTCTGTTTTTTTAAGAAAACGAAAAACATTTCTTCATTCTGAAATAATTTTTATTTAAAAAAAAAAAATCATTTTAAATTTTATTACTGTTGAAAAATATGAAAAGTCATGTGTTTTAGGAGTCATATAAATTGAACCTCTTTTTTACTTGTCAAACAGAAATTCTGTTGAGAAAAATACTGGCAAGTCGTGTCTCTTCGAAAAGTAATAATATCATAAACTACCTTTCATTCCAACCTTTTGTTATACTTGTAGAAAAATTATAAAGGATTCAGGGTATTTAAAAAAGAAGCTAAAAACGTTGTTTTGTTGACGTGACAAGTAATAGAGTTGTTTGAGTTATGGTGGCAAAGTTTTGTTGACGTGGCAAGTAATAGAGATGTTTGAGTTACGGTGGCAAATTACAATGCGATCCGCTAACACGGTACGAGATAAACGAGTTTGAATTAATCTTAAACGGGTTTAAGTTATCAACGGATTAACACTATTAACTTATTTACTTAATCGTGTGGAGTTAGGGTTGAGTGGATTCAACCCATTTATACTTGTTTAACTCAATATGTCATAATTGTAAATATGACATATGTAATATATTATCTGTTTAAATCCAATTACTATAAACAGTAAGATATTTCAACATAAATTTTGACTACGCCTTATATTTCTTCTTCTTATGTTATTTATTATTTGATTGAATAGTAAATCTCTCATTTTGATAAAAAGGTCATTAAAATGTATTGAGAATTCCTGACAATATTATTAAATGGGTCGGATTTGAATTTACCTGTTAAGTAAATTGTAGAATATCCTTAAATCAACGTAACACGATTATTATCATCCATAACAGGAATTGCGCATAATGGTGTGCGGTTAGTGTGACAATAAGGACTAGGTTATCAGGTTATTTAGAAGGAATAATGTTGGGTGTAGTTTATGATGAGAGTTTAAGAATTTTTGTGTAATCTGATTACTTGGTTTTAGTGTCATTCCTTGTAAATTGTCAACACCCTTTGGAAATTGTCATGAATGGAATTCTTTTTTAAATCATGCTTTCTTAATTTAATTCAATTTCAACTTCAATTTTCTGTATAAAGGACTTGATTTGATTTGAAGAAGATTCAACCTTCTCCTATCTCTTTGAAGGAACAAACTGAGGAATTAAAATATATAAAATCAACTAATTATTCTAAGGACTATAATTGCTTACTTATGTAAGAGGTTCATGCTTATCAAATTAAATACTTACGGGTCAATCCAAACTGATGCAAATCAAATCCTAATTTAAGTCTCTCCCTCTCTTCTCTCTTTCAAACTATTATGCTAAAACCCTAATCTGCTATTACAGGAAGTTTTGACTTTTATCTTTCATGGTTTAATGTGTAATTCTTACATTTACTTATCAATTGTTTTTATTTAAAGTACACCCAATTATATAAAATTGGATTCACATGGTTTGATAGATGATTTGTTGATTGTAAGATAGATTGTTTATTCTCGTCTTCTTTTTTTTTTGGTGGAAATAAATATCTATATATGTATCATTACATTTATAGTTCTTCTATTTATTCATCATCCACAGTTTTGTTTATATCTTGTAATATTATTTTATTTAAGAATTTTAACTAAATATTTTTTTCCGACTAGATCCCCTTCTCATTCACTCCCTGAACAAAAAGATAAAACCAAAGTTGCATAAGAGAAGGGTAGAGAAAGTTAGATTTAGATCATGATCATATTAGGATTAATCCGGATGACTTCTCAAATCTTTTAATTTTTATTATTTTAAATTATAGAAACACGTGTTTTACTAATTTTGCGCAACATCAAAGTAAGTACCCCTAAAATCATAATTAAAATGAGAAAAACAGAGTATCCACACATGGATATTATATGCACTGAAATTTTCAAAGATACGCATGGAAATTTCAAAGATTTCAAGTGCCAACTTACAAAGTTTCTAATTCGAATGGCTGCAAAAATTAAAATGATACCAATATATTCGGCTATGTATATTAAACGTTCATGGAAAATTTTTATTGAACATGTCTTATTCATAATCGTTTTTTACGGGAAAACACAATAATTGAAAAGATAAAAATTCAAGGTAAAATTTAATAATAATAATAATAAGATAAATATTTAAAATCGGATTAAGGAATTGTACTCTTCATCCACAATAATATTATTTCACACGATTATGTTTCCAAGTTTCCTTATATTTATCTGGTCATATGGGAAAGAATAAGAAAATGCATTTTACACGATTGTCCATTTTATTGATGGTCAAGTAAAATAGATTTAGAATAGATTTTTATTTTTTATTTTTTAAGTTTTAGGGTGTACATGATTACTAAATTTACAAAACATATAAACTATCATAATTAAATAGCGAAACAGGGATACAGGGGCGGCCACCAGAGAGAGAGAGAGAGAGAGAGAGAGGGGAGAGGAGAGAGAGAGATGGCTTGTTACACCCCTTTTGCCCATTCTATGCTATTTTGCCACCGATCTGTGCTCAAAGTATGTCCGTCCTTTCACAAAACTGCTACTCGTTTGCTCTCTTCCGTCCGATCATCGGACTTCTCTCTTCATCTTCAAGGAATACAAAACCCTAACCCTAGTGTTATATCACCATTGCCCGTCTCCAATACCCAAAAAAACACCAGTTTACTCCTTGGAGGCAAAGTACGTTGTTTTTCTTCTTCTATTCAAACATCACCAGCAGAAACAACTTACCCGTGGCTGATGGTACCTCCTTGTTTGTTTGCTAATGGCCCCTATAAGAAGAGTAAGAGTAGGAGGGATGCTAAGATCTGTCCCAACTGCAAAAGCACAATTATTAATGAACCTGTGGAACCCATTGTGAGACTCACAAAATTGAAGTTCAAGCCTGAGTACTGGGAGTACAGTGATTACCATCACTTCTTGAATGCTGCGGAGAATAAAGTTTTGAAGAAGAAGATTAATATGTGGATGCCATGGCAAACTGATCACCTTCCTCCGGCGGGGCACATCTGCATTGGTTCCTCTCATGGATGGCTTGCCTATATCCTCCGGAACAATTGCTCCCTCTATCTCTACAATCCCTTTATCGAATCCTCCTCCATGGCCTACCTCCCCCTCCCTCCCATCGAAACCCTCCCTCCAATTATCTCAAGCCGCAGACGGCTCAACATTGATTCCACCTCTTCTTCCTCTTCCATTGTTACAGAGTTCATGATATGGAAACATATGTCACTCGTTTCGGCTCTAGATGTGAGTCACAATTTCTTTAGGAAGGTCGTTATGTCCTCAGCCCCATCCCCATTTGGTGCTGATCAAGACTCTCGCTGCACAGTTATGGCCATCTACGGCCAAGAGGACCCACAACGACTTGCCTTCTGCAGAATTGGGGATACTTCATGGACTGCACTGAATTCTCCGTTAACAGACTCCTATGTAGATCTCTTGTATTTCAGCAAGACACAACTTTTTTATGCTTTGACCCACAATGGGTATGTAGAATCTTGGAATCTCAGCGACCCTTCTTCTCCAGAGAGATCTCTTGCAATTTCTACTATGCCTCCAAAATTGCAACCGACAATGAATAATCACCAGCAGAGTGTGAGATCTCATGATTATGCTCATACTACAATGTATTTAGCGGAATCTTCAGAGGAATTGGTGATGGTTCTGAGGCACAAATGTTTTAACCGTGGTGTCTTCCCCTTTTCTGTAGTTGCGAAAGAAAACACAGCTGCATTTGATGTGTATAAGCTGGACTTTGTTGAGAACAAATGGGTATATGTTCCGAGCTTATGCGATCGGCTATTGTTTATTGGCCAAAATCACTCGGTTTCTCTTTCTGCTAATGATTTCCCGGGGTTGAGAAAGAATTCTATTTACTTTGCTCCCGAAAATGTTGGCAGCGATTCTGATGGAGCCCCTGAAGGATGTAATGATTTGGGGGTCTTTAACTTGGAAGATGACAGCCTTCAACGGTTAGACCTCGAGTATATGGAACCTTCTCCTATTTGGGTTGTCCCTCAGATTTGAAGAAAACTCCACTAATATATCCATTTGTTTCTTTCCAAATCCATGATCTGTTTCGATTTTTGGTCTGGCCCTGCACACTTTTTTTTTTTTGCTCAGCTTTAATTTATTTTAAAAGGTAGTTCTCAGCCCATATTGAATTGTTTTTCCATAATGTGATTACTCTTTCTTGTTTAGAAAGAAGTGGGTTTTCTCTTTTGGATAAAGACCAATTTTTATACTTCACACTGCCGTCTCTTGGGTCTCATTGGAAATATATGTGCATATTGTAGTCCGTAGGTCTCATGTATTTATATTATTTAAATAAAATTAAAAAATATTGTAAAAATAAATTTTCGTTTGTAAGTTATGGATGATTATATTATTATTATTTTTTTAAGCAAATAAACACCTAGTAGAACTCAAACCGTCAACAGTCTTTGGAAAGATAATGTGAGTTGCGGGTGCAGATTGACTTAGATAAGATTATTAGATCAACTTATCTAAATTTTTGTGATTGATTAATTTATTCATGAATATGATAAATACAAAAAAAAAAAAAAAAAAAAACTAAGCAAACTAAAGTTAGAGAGATAACATTAGGATTTTAGTGAGAAATCAATTGGAAAATGTTTTGTTTGCTATCTCTAGTGCAAAACGATCCACTATGTATGAAGCAAAGTATACCGAACTTTGACTCAAACTCACACCCCTTCACTCTACCACCGAATTTTGACTCAAACTCACACCCCTTCACTTTACCAAGACTCAATCTGCTAAACACCCCTAGCTTTATTACGTATCTCAAGACTATATTCATCAAGTTTATTTTTAAATATCCATTTGGTCTATCCTTATGTCGAGGCACTAATTCTCAAACATCATTCTTCACAAATTAAAGCAACTCTTCTTACATAGTTATAAGCCAATCAGAGTCTTGAAGGGCTTCATTAACATTCTTCTAGTACCAGGTCTATCCCTGTATCGACCCAAAATGATACCAAAAATATAACAATAATAATAATAAAATAAATAAAATTTCGGCATGACCTCCGCAGAAAAAGTTCCTCTATAACCTGTTGAAATACATAAAATATGCAATGGCCTCACTGAGCCTCAAAACTAATCTATCCTGTCCCAACGCACAATGCAATAATATACAACATCCCCAAAATCAACACATACATATAAAATGTCTCGTTCCTCCATCTCATCTAAACAAGGAATCACTTTAATCAAGTTACAATCCATGAAATATATTTATTTGCACAAATTCTACCATTACAATACTTTACAAGTTACACTTAATTTTTATAAAAGGTACATGATCATATTTCTATACAAAAGACAACAAAATAAGAGTTCTAGTCCAGTCTTAATTTACGATGCGTTGTCGCCCGCCCATTCTTTTCCAAACCTGAAAAATGTTAAAATTATGGGGTGAATACAAAGCTCAGTAGGAAGTGTCTAAGACACATCTTTTATGACCCCGTGAATCCACATATAGAATAGAAATCAAGAGAACGAGATCATACAATACTTGGGATATAATTATGATACCCCTCGATTCTAGAGTCACGGGTGATCAAATCCAAGCACAGATCCGAGAGATACCAAACAATTAATATATAAATAAGCACGGAATACAAAAATGAAATAAGAATAAAATAATAAAGCTGAATGAATTCTAAATTAAAAATCCTCAGAATAATATAATTAAAATCCAATAATTCAAAACCTCTATTACTTAAACAACTTGAGAATCCATCTAGTGGACACCTATTAAAATCCCAAACTGAAAAGGAAACAACTGAAACAAAATCCGAAGCTAAACATGGAAAACAGTCCTACGTAGTCGAAGGAATGAATGACTGTATCTGCTCAGCACGATCAAACTCTAAGCTTGGAACTGACGAACACCTAAAAAAATAAAAGAGTAGGCTAGGCAGGCCCACATGCAAGTTCTATCCTACTACAATTCATACAGAAACCCGATATATAGATGCATCATACATAGCTCAACAATAATTAAAATAGTCCATATATGTGTAAATACACACTATAGGACGCTCATTAGCCCAATAGGTCTGTCTCAGCCTGAGTAGAGATACCATGCAAATCGCATATAACGTGGTCATGTGTACCTAGACAGGGGCAGAGCCAGGAATTTATTTCAAAGGGGGCACAATGTACTTGTTTAAAAAAAATTCTTTTTTAATTAATATGACAATATAATTTTTTTTAAATAAAAAAGGCAAATAGGAAAAAAATAGTTGTAAAATAATATGCTAAATAAATACCGTAAAAAAATATAGTTACAAATATAACAATTAAAATATTAATTAATAATATTTTAATTAAATACAATCACAAATGTCATCGATAAAAAGAAATAAGTTTAAAAAAATAGAAAAATACATAATTATACATAAGTGAAAAAAGAAATTTTTTGAAAAAGAAAACAAAAATTAGAAAAGGAAAAATATATTGTACACTTGAAGAAGGGATATATATAATTTATTTATTTTTTTCAAAAGGAAATTAAAAGAATTTGAAAATTTGAGGGGGGGGCACTATTTAAAATTACCATGTAAGTATATATATATATATATATATATATATATGTACCTATGTACCAATTAAGGCCCACTCTGGGCTTTAATTGGCTTCGCCCCTGTACCTAGACCTACCATATATGTATAAATACACATTATATGTCTAGTTATCCATCCTAGGTGATATACGTACCCTAACCATGATCTTGAGACTCAAGCTCATATCACGGCACCATAATCATAAATATATAAAGTCCGTATAAGCCTAATACAAAATATCATCCATCTGGTATAGTGGCCTAATATATGTAAAAAAAAAAAAATCATCTAGTACCAAAGTATGTCATTCAATTGTTTATTGACCTGACACCAATATGAGTAGGACTTAACCTTTGTGGTTAATCCATACCTCAATCCAGAATAGGTAGGATTTAGTGTTTGAACTAATCCATCCCTAGTATGCCACCGTCCTATACCGGTGCATACAATCCTCCAACTAGCATAATTAATAAAACTGTAATAAGTACTCATCAACCATACTCCAAGATATGCATAAATAAAGTTTAATACATATATGACCATATTAGGTATTCACTATAAGACCTAAAAATCATGTTCCAATCCTTTGAATTGCTAAAATAAAGCTAAACATTTAAATCCTCCAAACAGTCCATAAATTGATATAGTTTACAACAAATTAAATATCAATTTAATCTAACCCAAGCATAGTTAATTGTAGATAATCAACTATACTTATAACACTGTTGAAATATGATTAAACATTATTAAATCATATACAAAAGATTTGCTAAATTCCAGTAAGCAAATTAATTAACAAAACAGTATGCAACATGTAGGTTTTTCCTTAACTTCATGTTACTCCATTCCTTAATACATTAATGTAATAATGCTTCCCAATATTTTTATAGGTCTATAGAAGTTAATTACAACATTTAATGCAATTTAAATGGCTTAAGAATACCCTGTACAGCCCAAACGGAGCCTTAAAACCAATTCTGTGCGTTTCAGGGCGAGAGCAGGCTCTCAAAAATGGAGAGCCTGCTCCAAACACTTGGGAGCCGGCTCCCCACCCTTGGGAGCTGGCTTTAAGGAGCTGGGAGCCGGCTCCCTCCATGTGGGAGCCGGCTTTTGCCTTGAGGGAGCTGGCTCCCTCCTTTTGGGAGCTAGATCTCTCTCCCTTAAGAGTCGTAGTCCGCTATTGTTCGTTTTTTTCGCCTCCGGCAATATTCAAAGCCTCTGTAATGTTTTTATTACACATTCTAGGGTTCAATAAATGTCCCAAATTAATTCTAAGACACTGTTATACATCCACGACATAAATTAAACAAAGCTTAAAACCAACGGCAGTAAGATTTAATTTAGAAACTTCAATCAACTCCAAACCAGTTTAATTCAAAACAATTATATACAGAACTCAGATTTAAGGGAAGGAGTTAGAATAGGAGCTTGCTTTCAGTTTCAGTATTGAAACCTTAAACCACCGCCTTTAAATTTTCCAACCACTTCCTAGACTGCCGTTTTACACCTCCGTTGCTCTTGGTTTAACCCAGAAGCAATCCGTTCCTTCCTCCTTGAACCTCTCTGTTATTCTCTCAAGTTTTTCTCTCTATTTCTCTCTGCCTCCCAATGCGTGAATAGGGTTTTTATTTTACCTTAGCAGACATATAACTTATTTATATATAGGCTTCTATAAAACTTAATTCTAATTCCAACCCAATTATAAGTCGGCTACTTCATCCGTAAAACCTAAATTAAAGACATTTAATTTAAGCAACGAAAACAATTAATAACCTAATATTCAATTAAACAAATAAAGAAAAATGCACACAATTTATACACTGCCACCTAAGCATAACATTAATGACCAAAGAATTAAAACAAATAACTCAATTAAATAAAACAAGTAATTAAAACAGATAAACCAATTAAATAAAACAATTACCAAAGAATTTAATTAAATAAAAACAATTAACAAATAGGCAAATAAGCAAATAATCAAAGAAAAATGCACTAAACAAATATTTAAAATGCCGAGACTATCCTTTTAAAATTAGAGGTATTACAATAATCCATAACTACAACGTCAAATATAACCACAATTGTCATTCAAGTCACAATTATACCATGTATGCCAATGAAGTGTAATGCCATGCTCATGTCGTTCCCCATTTTCCGAAACATTACCGTTTCAACTTCCAAACCGTTAATGCAATCCGACCCAAGGCACCTCCAAGGCGTCACGAAGGAAGGATTGGCTAACTATTCACCACCACAAAGCACCTCCAAGGCGTCGCATCCGGCCTAGTTAGCTCAATCTCTAGTCCCCTCTAGACTACACTAACACCACGGACCACTAGGTGTCTCCTAGGCGTCCGGTTTTCACAAACACTTTTCAAAAACTTTTCCCAAAAATAATTTCATTTGTTTTTAAAACAAATTTTTCCCTTC